AAAAACATTAAGGAACACCTATAAATATATTCAGTCTTAAAAATACCTAAATTTGGTTAACGTTCCTCTGACCAAGGATCTGTGAACTGCCGTTCACTTAGAGTTTGTATACTTCTGGAAGTCAAGCTTCCTCTGTGCAAGGTGCCGTGTGCCCCGTCACAGCTGAAATACTTTAGTACTACGAGCAAATTTGAAGTAGTGGATCCTGATTGGCATTTGGTCAGGTATCCTGAATTAGGTCTTTGAATTTGACCTATCCGACAGCTGAGTCTTGATAAGAAGCTTTGAATAAGCGTCAACCACTCTTGAGGATAGAAGATGAAATACCCACATCTTAACCGGGCAACAAGAAATGTGTTGCGAGCATAGATAGCGTCAAAGGAGGCCCAACGCTCAGAAACGATTGTCGCTAGCGTGGATGTGCTCAATAGATAGCGAGAATGGACTTCGCAAACATACCTCTGTAAATCACCTGTGACCCCTACAAAGCTCTATGCAGCGGAACGTCACTGCTAAGCGTTATTTTAAGCCTGGGAATGTTCTTCTCTGGATACGAAAAATGTAGATGACAATGATTACGACTTTGCACAATATTGGACAACAGCGCATCACCCTAGCGTGTTCAAGCTAACAGATCGCGCGTGAGAACGGGTGCTAAGGTGCGGTCGCTCACGAAACGAAGATTTCATCACATGAGATGAACCCAGACTACAGATTTCGTGAGCTTATGTACCGCCTAATCAGAATTTCTGCGTTTGGCGAAATCTCAAGGAGGAAAATGTCGGAATATGTTCAAGAGCTAAAAACACTCATAGTCCGGATATAGTCGACTCTTCTTCAAGACCAGTGCCGGCTACAATACTTTTTAAGGGTTCGCCTACAGGTAAAGAGGCTGTTGCGTGCGCCGCATATGATTCAAAGGAATTGTTGAATGCCATAATAATTGCGGGTGCATCTCTTTATCCGCGAAATTCTGTTGAGGCGCAGGAGGTGGAGGCTCTTTGCAAACACGTGAGGCGATGGATCTCATCCAAAGTTGAGAAAAGGAGAGATCTAATTTGCGACTGAGCAGCATTGCGGGTACCAATCGCGTGGGTATCACGCTCTTGAGATCCATCGGCTTAGGTTCGCTCGACAAGCTCTGAGGGTGAACATTCTATCCAAGTCGTGCCGACTTAAAGTTGAATTCGGCACTCAATGCCACAATTACCGCTTCTTCAAAAGAAGGTGGATGCACACGGAAGGCTTCCATTCTGGCCACGCCAGTGCGGAGGCCCTCCGTAAAGTTGGTCACTGTGACCGCCTCGGGGGGAGGATCAGCTGCCATACCGGCAACGAAAGTTCTCAGCTCTTGGACAATTCCTGCTTGCGCTGTCGAGCGGCAAGGAAACGCGATCGCACGCGATATGCCTGGTTAGGCGGAAAATACACTGGTAAAAGCTGCAGCTTCAGCTCCGTCCAGAAAGTAACGCCGACCGCAGTGCCGCACCTCAGTGCCCATTCTCGTGCTCGACCACCGAGCTTTGAGATAGCTAGCGCCACGAGCTGTTGCTCGGTCTGTAGCATGGCGGACGCCATAGCCTCGGCCTCTCTTGCCCGATGCAAAAGACTCTCTCCATTCTTGCCCTCGAAGATAGTAACGCTCGGCAGGAGTCATCGGTCGTCGACGGTGGCGTCATGGACGCAGTCCACGCCGACATCTTCAGCTGGAAGTTCTCTAGCAGAGCATTACCATAGCTCGAAAACGCCTATAGGTGTGCACTGATCGCTTCAGATTCTCGCGAAGCGAGGTGTTGCGCGCTTTCAGAACCAAGTAGAGACATCAGTTTTTTAAGTCAGTCCTGGATGCCCTTGGGCATATAGGAGAACCGCTCCATCCGCACAAAGGATCAGTCGTAAGGACTCAAATGTAGATTGACTTCAAGTGCGATCAAGTGCAGCGGTATTGCTGTCGCTATCTCGTTTAGAGGAGGCCAAGCTAAAGTCGGTGACCTAGTGATCTCGCCGAGACGTACAACCCCTGCGAGGAGGCGACAACCATAGGATGGCGGGGGGTAGCGGGACGCGAGGATCGAGAAGTCCTTTCACGTAGAACGGCATGTAGCCGGTAGACGAATGCACCGCATTACTCAAAGTGAACTCCACAAGTGGCAGCATGGCGCTCCAGAGCCTCGGCGTCTCAGCGCAGACACTGCGAAGAACGTCTTCAACGACGCGATTTACGCGCTCAGTTTGACCATCGGTCTGCGAATAGTCCACTGTTGACATAGTGAACTTGGTGCTCAGCACCTTGAAGATTGCCGACCAAAACTCTCTAATGAATCGTGGGTATCTGTCAGAGACAATTGACTTCGCATGTTGTCAAAAGACACGATCCACAAACAGCGTCACTGTACCCACACCGTCGATGGTGTCCGGCACTGCCGCGAGATGAGCTATCTTGCTCAAACGGTTCGCAAAGACCGCCAATTTATGTTGTTCGTCGAGTCCTTGGACAAGCCAAACACAAAGTCCATACTCATGGATTGCTAGCACCCGGAGGGTACCGGTAGGCTGGTCAGCGGCGTCGCCGCATTCGGAGAGGGTTTCACCCTTTGACAGGTCTCACACGTGCGCACATATGTGCTTGTCCATTTGTACAGCTTAAGCCACCAGTAGTGGCAACTCACAGAGCTGTAGATCTTCTCACGACCAAGATGACTACTGAGTGGGGTGTCGTGGGCCTCGTGGAGAATACAGTATTTTTAATCCTCATCTTGAGGAACCACAATTCGTGGCGTATCCGTTAAATCGGTGCTACACTCGAACACCACTCTCAAATAGACGACGTGGTTTTCCTCATCTGTCCTATCGTGTCCCGCACGACTGTGGACAAATATGTCGTCGAAGTTTGTATTTGCATACGCCCGGTGGAACCTAGACAACTGCGTCACAGTACGATTGAATGTTGCTGGTGCGTTTGCCATCGACCATGTCGAGTGCACTGTACTTTGTACAGCCAACCATTTTGTTCTGGAAAACATTCTTCCTGGGAATCGGCATCTGTGCCGGAATGGTGGCAGCGTCTAGCTTACTGTAAGCGTGAACGATACGCCACTTGCCGTTTGGCTTCCGGACGCAAAATGTGGGTGTCGAATGGGGAGGCTTGCTCTTACGCACCATTCCTGTGTCGTGTTTCGCACGGGAGTACCCACTGATTCACTCAGCGCCTCGCGTCAATGTGGGTTGCCTCTTGCTCATCGAGTAGCCGGTACGTTATCACGTTATCTCTCTGCGAGTCACGGAGTTTTGAGACGAGCCAGACTTCGCATATTTTTGTTGAGCTTTGCCATTGCACTGTCTAGCTTAGAGCATCTCGGCAGATCAGAATCGCGCCGCTGCTGTGGAGCAGAGGCAGCTTGGCAATAATAAACGTAGACGTTTCTCCATCTGCAAAAATGCAGGTTACGTCCGATTGTTCCGTAGGAGCGAGCTCGAGGTACGGCTTTGGTAAGTCCAACTTACAACACCGGATCTGTATGCATTCGCCTTAATATTACTCAATCTCGTATTGCTACGACCGTGATCGACTTGATGTAGCGCGGTCACAGTAGGCCGCAAAAACTGCATGTGTAGATATGACGATTGCATTCAATAAGACCTTTTCATCTATAGCATATTCGTGTGTGTTCGTTCCACCTGCCTCTGAATTCGTGTTTCTTTTGTTTGCCTTGGATTTCAGCCACAGCGTCGTGTTCCCAACATATGGTTTTTATCTTATTATAAAACTGATCTTGCTACAAAGTGTAATAGCAAGTGGATTATGATCAACACCACCTCCTTCACTAAGACCAAAGCCAATTCGCTGTTATGTCAAAGGTACCCGCGATTTCATCAAAGTAGATTTTGCAAAACAGGAAAGCTTGTAGAGGCGCGTACTTCGATCTCATAGCAAGTTCATGAGTGAGAGCAACTTGGCCCAGCGCCACGGTCTCTCCGTGCGTGTGCTTCGCATGATATCCTGCATAACGCGGATCCCGCAATCTGTCTGACCTTTTTTAATGAACGGGAGGCGGTTGTCCTATGCACTCTGGTGCCGATAAATGTATGTCAAAATTTATCTGTAGCGGATTACCGGCGAGTCATGCTAGCGAGACAGTTCGCCGAGGAGCAGCTTGGCTGTATCGTCACCGGTCATATTATCGCTGATAGCCGCGATATGAGTCATTTTGTTTAGGCAGTCTACGAAAACTACAATAGCGATAGTCCCGAACGCGTCTTTTGGGAGACAGAACATAGAGTCTTTACTAATGGACTGCCAGCACGCTGTTGGACCGGTCAGACTGTCCAATGGTGTCACTGCATGCGGCAAGGGTTTATTCCGCTGGCACAATAAGCACGTGCGCATCTATGTGGTTATCTGCTTGTACATGTTAAGCCACCAAATGCATAGTGCTCATCGGGCAGTATGCCTTTTCTATCTCAAGGTGGCCATTCAACGAGGTATCTTTTGCCTAGTGCAATATTTTGTGCCGAAGGTCCCATCCTGAGATACCAGTACATGCTGAATGTAATCTGGGTCAGTGTTGTAATAGTACAAGCCTTAGGGTTAAGGCAACGCGGTGCAGACGTGCAACCGTGTGCTTCGATAATGCGGCATCTGAAATACAACCCTTTGCTTTCCAAAGCTTTCAGCAACGCAACATATGTTGCATCTGACTCAGACGCTGTACAGATAGCTTAATCCGTTGGCGACACCACCATTGTGACATGTGACAATTCATCAAAAAAGCGACGTGAATGTAGAATCCACCAACACATAAAGCCAACACGGCTTGCATCTTTTCTCAAATGAATATTTGGGAAAGAACGATAATCATCTGCCATTTTCTGTGAGAGATGTGGTGACGACGTCGCTGTGCGCAACGACGCTTGATCGCAACTGGCTTCGGACCCGTTCTGAACTTGATGGCCTTATACTCCATAACATGTAGCTTCTTGCCATGAATATGGCAGCTGGTATCACTCATAACGTACTCGTGAGGATTAATGCCGTAAAAGCGCTGATCGCGATCACGCGATAACATTAACATAGAGTAAGGTTTAGCCCATAACACAGTGTAAGCGTCACAAACGACGTGGATTGGTCGATATGATTTCGGAAGATCCAGAATAGCGGCACACATGAGGCTATTTTTACCCTTAAAGGTGCATCTACTGCTACACCCCAGCAACATTTAACTCCGTTATTAGATAAATGGCGTGGCGAGAGGTGTGAAATGGGCATACTTTGCGCTGTATTTCTGCAAGTAGTTGGACAGGCCAAGTCATTACAATTCCTATTAGGACAAAGGCAAGGGCCAGTGTATGAATGCATATATCGTTGCGGTGTCTACCCGCAACCCTTTCCAATGAGCCAACCTAAAAAGAATTTCGTCCGCGCCGGACAAACACTTGCTTATATTGGCGAACTGCTCATTCGAGCGCATACACTCGAGCACCGCTTGCAAGTGTTTGACATGTTTTTCCACATCCGACTTCCAATGCTTTGCACGACGATGACCGAAAATATCGTCGAAATAGCTTTGCGGTAGCCATGGCGTGCCCTGCACAGCTGGTTGCCTACCAATTGAACGTTGCTGATGATTAAGCCGGTCCTTGGTAAAACCGGACGCTTCCCGATCCTCTTACTAAGGTAAACATATCAGAAAGGAAGTATTGCTATCTGTCACCAGCAGCTGGAATTAACTTCACCTATATCGCGGCTATTGAACAAAGAGCAGCCGACAGTGCTGTTCTGTAATACAATCACGGTCTTAGACATGAATTGAGGCTGTATTTATCTTACTAAAAGCATGCACAATGTACCACTTGTCGTTAGGTTTTCTGTCGGGACGTCAGCTCCGAGTGTGGAAATTTTCTATCACTAAGCTTGTTTTCTGCGTCGCACGGAAGAAAGCGTCAATGACGTCATACGTTCCCTAAGTAAGGACCATTGGACCATTGCCGCGTGACGCAATATTTGAACTTAGAAGTCAAGACAATTTCAGGCTGTACTCCCCTATATACGGCTAACACGTGTGGTTGATCTCTCTTTGCCACGTCATTATATTTCTTTACCGAAGAACTAAAATATCCCGCAGATCTTTCACGATAACTGTCCCAATACTTGTACTCAGAGCTATGCGAGTATCCTCAATGATCGATTCATCCATGACGGATGACGATCTCAGCTTCTTCTTCGGTACCAGTCGTACCCTCAGTTACCTCACCGTTTTGTAATACCCAGCACATCCCCCCCGAGCAAAAATTCTTCCGGTCCCTAATAAATTTATGTTGTATATGCTTACGACCTTTCGGACTTCCAGGGCCACTCCATTCGAGGGTACTCGTCTCTGTAGCTTCAGTGCCCCGCACGATAAGCCCCTCACACAGTAGTGCTGACTCAAACCTCATGGCAACAATGAAGTATCCATCTTATCGTCAGAGTCTGGTCCTTACTCTCGCGGCTGACAGTCGCCCGTCAGCTCTGCTGGCTCTGGTACGGGGAATATGACACCTTCTCTTGCTGGCCTTGGCATAGATAACAACAGCTCGCAGCTATTCTTTACCGTCCCGCTAGAAATACACTTTAGAGATCACGACATACAGTTGTCCAATTTCACCTTAACAGCGATACACTCAGGAGACGTAAATATACCATCGCTCTTTCCGTCTGAATTTCGCTCTGAGACTTTAGCTCACTGCCTTTTTGTCTTTCAAGCTCTCATCGAGGCAACCAGCAAAATCATTGCTGTCAATTTCGGACAGGTCCATGACCTACATGGAAGCTATTGTAGCCTTGTGCCCGCGCAAAATGCGCTTTTGCTTCCTGACGGAAGTGTATTCATGGCCGTCAAAGTTGCACTAGATAAAAAGTATGGGTGTCCAGTCGAACCAAGGTTCATGTCATTCTACCCGAGAATGCGTAAAACGAGCTTGTACATCGAATCTGGGTCCGGGACCTAACAGCGCTCTACGCTGTCGAAGTCGTTAAGTTTTATAAGGAGGCCAAATAAACCTTTCTACACTTTCACTAAACGGAGTAGCTAAAATAGTACCTTAGATTTAGTCTGTCATCTCTGTCCCTAGTTCAACCTTCAGGGAGCTTGAGGGCTTGTCCTTCGGAAATGGATGCAAAAAATGGAAGGCAACGAAATCACCGAGCAATCACTGATAGTACCAAGGAAAGCTTATCGTATCATCAATCATAGAGGAGTTCGTCATTGAGGCACACAAAATGAACTCAGTGAGAATAGTGAAGCAGTCTACCTAAAGACCATGCGGCATTTTTACCTTTTCTGAAGGATCACCACGATGTGGTCATAAGACACCCCTCACGGCTACTGTCGCCAATTAAGTCTTGAAAATGGCATTGATCCGCCAGACATTGCTAAATTCGCCTGTAATTGATACTTAGGGAGCACTTCGACATCATATACGTTTTTTCTTTCCTGCAAATCACGAAGCAGATTTGGTGAGAGGACGTTTATCTCTTTATTCGGTGTCGACATTCGGTGTCGAAAAATGAAGCGAATGGTAAAGTGTGCATGCTTTTTATTGTCTCAATGCGCTCCGGCGCACACCATATTTTCAAAACGTATTATTTGCAGACCAGTATGACAGGTTTTTACACTGACTGTGCTCTCAGTTTGATCGATGGGTAGTACCAAAAGTTCATGGAGGAGTTAATTCTAAGCATATGTAATTCTTTCAGTATGACCGAAAGGTTGCTAATCACTTTATAAGGCACTCCGATCAGCTCCTAAGGCGTTTGACCCGATTCTCTGTGAGACATTTCACATGGACTCGTCGAGTCAGAGATTCCTCGATGTGAGGTGCACGATAATTCCGCTGCATTTAGCTGTACTCATCTTGGCTTCTACGACCAAATCTGAAAAAGACTATACATTCGTGAGAGTAGAACAAAAGCTGTTCTTGTTTCGACCCTCAGAGCAACAAGACAGGCTCGACAAACTTCTGTAGTGAGTAGGCTCCAAGGTGGTTGTGCGATCGGTGGGCTATGAGACACTAGTGGCTATCATGCCCCCAGTTCTGTTTATGGTTATGTATGTATCAATCCCCAGTAACTTCTCAAACTGGTTTTTGGCCAGCTCACACAGTGGGACCGCTTTTGCAAAGCGTCCAGCCTTTTATGAGAAGAAACAAGTAAAACGACCCCATCTAGGTAAAAGTGGTTAAGATGGCCTTTGAAATGTGGCCATGTTCCAGGCGAAGTATCAGCGCCACATACTGGTGGATTCTAAGCTAGGAGGCCGCGCGAATAAAAGACATTTATGCACCTCAATAGATAAGATATTCCCACCGCATAAACTGTGCAATTTCAAATAGTGCCCACCTGGCAATGGATGCGAGGACCAGCGGACCACGTGGAGGTATTGGGAACCCTTGTCGCAGTAATGGCTTCTACCCGATTTTAGAGGCGATAGCAGTCTTCATGAAGGGTCCCTGAGAGATGCGGCCCGCGCCGATACATTTCGCATCCACCTAAATTAATTCTCGGTTGTGGTTAATGTCGAATTGAATGCCGAGCACAATTTTGATTTAGAAGGGATGGTTGGATATGTAAATAAAAGCTCTATGAGCGCATAGACCTCGAACAAGAAGGCAATTTGTGGTACTTGCATATACTACACCGTGTGTGTCCCCTTCACTCTCTATATATGTCTGCGCTGAAACGTGCAACAGGTTGAGCTTTCATCTCTCGTGTAGACAGATCGAACAGCCTTACACCTACGAACTGGGCTTGACTTTGCCTCAAGGAGGTCAAGGTAAATTTGACGCAGCCTTTGGAGGTAATAATATGTCGGCAAAGTGGTTTACGGCCAAGGATTGTTGATAGTCAACATCAAATTCTAGGATTTTGTGAAGCTCTGGAAATCTGATTGATTGGAGGGCGTGTAATTACGTACGACTCGCGACTGTTTAAAATAGACAGTATGCAGAGGCCTTGTAAATACCAAGTACGGCGCAATATCTGTGTGTCGTGCGGTGAAACAATACGAGAGTATATAATGCGTTAACACCTCTTCGTTGTGGGCAAGTTATCAAGTCATTCGAATCGCCGCACGGTTATCAAAACTGACCATCCTGAGTGGTATCACGGCCTCATATTTGTACCTGTGTCTTAAATCTGCTTGTCTATTCAAGATTTTCTCTTGACACCGCATTCGACATAACATTTATCGTTTGCTCGAATGCAGTTATTTGTTGAGTAAAATTTCGGTGCAAGTTGCACTTGCATAAGAGACCCGAATACGATACATTTACCGACTCCGGGACGAGTCTGACCGGTATCCTGGATATCGGTCGCTAGCTATAGTCCAGTAATTATCTTTTCCGCTGAAGGTGGGGATAAATTTTGACGGACGTGATGCATAGAGTCGGCTGGAGATGCATCTCTTACTGAGGCATCTCACGAAGATGTCCATTCTTGCACACGACGCGCCGTTCCACAGTATTGTTCATAGCGGAGTACATGACAATCGATCTCAATTTCTTTAGATATTGCTCTGATAAGGTTTCTGAAGGTTTTTAGTAGTATTTGCAGCGAAGCTATTCACTGCTAGAAAGCAGCAACACGGTTCTGAGCTCTTAGGGGGGTGCCCATGCCAAGCAGTTCTACAGTCCGAAGTGCTGACACAAAAAAGGAAGCTCGTTAGTGCCAGCCGTGGGGTGGTTTGACTTGCCGGCACTGCTCGTTTACGTGACACATTTGATTGTGACATCCCACTAGTGGCAAAGACGCTGGGATGAAAGACTTCAAGAAATATGAAGACCGAGAGTGTGCCAGGTCGTAAGCGGCCATAGCATCAGCGTAAATTTGCCGAAGCGGAATCTCAAATTCCCACAACTCTGCATGCTGAAGATAACCCTTCCACGTCACCAGGTACTGGAAACAGCCGTCTTGTGGTGAGAAAAAAATAGGTAGGTCGCCATCACAGCTGTCTCATGCAGACAAGCGGGGTTGTTAACGTGATGTTTGTTAGTTGATGGGCTGTCACTTCGACGTCCGCGTCACTGATGCTGGCTTGTAAAACTTTAAGTGGGTGAGAAATCGCCTCGTCCAGTGCGCGAATTGACACATTCACCTAGTGGCACTTTTGCCAGCATCTTTATATTCATCATAATGGTACGAGCTTTTGCAACATCTGCCGCTCCAAGCGCTAATGGTGCTCATGGGAACGATGGCCTGTGGGTTGAAAAAGCTCTTGCTGGGCGACTACGAACGGTATGGATTCGTAGTAACGACGCGAGTTGGGCAAGAATGGGCGTGACGCTTGCGAAGAAGAAGGCTCCTTTAACAAGGTCTCGTTAATCAGGAACGAGCTGGCAATCGCCGTGGGCTACACTGTTAGTATGTGATATGCTACATCTTCGCTCTGCATGCTCTTCACTTTTGGTCTTTTAGTTCAGAAGTTCGAAGAGTAAAGCCTCCACGCAGAATCGTCCAACGAACCCTTCGCAAGAAAAGGTCGGGTCCTAGTAGGAACTCAGAAGCGTCGTAACGCTACAGCCCAAATGTCGAAAACAGTAGACTGTACGCGAAGACATTGAAGGACCCATTTACGGATACAATATCAGTGCATCATGCCAAAGGACGTTGGTGGGAGTTTCGAAGGTCATGGTAAGATTCTAAGTGAATTTCTGTGCTCTTCCGACGTCCCAAGTTTAATATCGTTTTATAATCTTTTGTATTGAAAGCACATTTTGATTTAATATGTGACTCACCATGATTGTTTTTTGAGGTGGTTATACACATCATATTTTTATAAGTTGCGTGCATGCAAAACGATACTCATAAGCTATGCTCTACTAAAAGGCATAGAGTCGGGTCTACTTGTTTCGCATTTTAAAGATTTTCCTAATATGAGTTAAGATATTGGTAAAGATGTACAAAACAAGTAAATTTCAAATGATAGAAACTGTTAAGCGTCTGCCCAGCCCTCAGCATTATGCAACCTTACGTCAGCGTCCATATTGGGCGAATTCTGAATAGCGTACAACAGTTTCGTCCGCAGCACTTCCTTGCTTGTATATGCCGGAAGTCGTAGAGCAAAGAAACATGTCTGTGCATGAGGCAGGTACAGATCTGGTTGGCTAGAAGCTCCTGGATCTTGAGCGGTCTGAAGTTTGAAATTCATTGGAAAGTCCTTTGCGCTGTTCGGCATTCGGCTGCGAGCCCACACAAATCGCAAAAAGGACGTTCTTTCTTCACTTGTCATTTCGCGAAGTACCTCCCAGAAATGTTGCACGTGCGGCATCGCCTCATCAGCCCCCTCGCTGTATTCTGTGCATTGGTGCAGCAGGTCGACGTCTACTTCACGGCGTCCACAGATCAACACTTCGAGTTCACGCGGCGTGAACAGGGGTGCTAGCTCCATCGGTAGCACAGAGGCTAAACCATCCTTCAATGCAGCAAGCTGTTGGCGGCTTTCGGTTAGTCGTGTCTTTTCTACGAGTTGCACATATAGTTCGCGATTTGCTAGCGTCACCGGCATCTTTTCACCGAGCGGAACCAACGGGACCTCAACGCCGTCACTTAAGGTTGTCGACATAGTGAGATACCCAAGCAATTCGGCGGCTTCTTGAGCTGCTGTCTCCATATTAGTGTCGAGAGCCTCAATGCGGTTCAGATTATTGACCACAGCCACATCAACGCTCTCCAGGTGGGCACGGCTGACTTCAAGACCTGCTAATGGCCGCCACACAAGTGACGGCAAATCTAGTCCCATCTGTAGACCATGACGCACTGCGGTGCCGATAAGCTTACCTAGAAAGCGATGCAAATCCAGCGCCATCGGTCCATTCGCAAGTAATGCGGTGCCACTCGATGGGTTTAGCAAAAATTTATCCTGATTGATGCCGGTGGCGCTTCGACGGTTCGGACACGGGATCAGCAAGGGAAGCAGGCCTTGCTCACCCTTTACTAGTTCGACATTGTCCATCTGCAATTCGTCCACAATTTGCTCAAAAACAGCGCGATATGGCCCACCGTAATCATTTACACCTTCACCCAGAAATTTAACCTTAAATGCACGACGTTGGCCGCCATGGCCCTTTCCGCAATATGCTCGGCGAAAGAAACTGTCGTTCCAAGCACGCATTTCTCTGTAAAGTTGTCCAAACACCGAGCGACGCAAGCGATCACCAGGTTGCGAAAGCAAGCTCAGCTTTGCGGGTTGTGCCTGAATGCGATTAATACGGATAACTCGAATCTCACGTGGGTCCTCATACTCATCAGACGGTAACGGAGTACTTGTGGTCGTCGCACGTAACACGTCATCCCAAAACGCACGTTTAGTGCTCGTAAAAAGTAATCGCCGTAACGAGCGCAATTTCAGACTCGTTGAAAGAAACTCGGTCGAGCTATTGGTTTTGCTCCGAGCCACTTCAATTGGCTGAGTAGAACTCCCATCGTTAGGCTGAATTGCAATAAACGGGAGCACTCGAAGAATTTTGTTATTTAAGACCCGTAAAACCGCTGTGCGCGCACGCAATTCAGGGCCAGTAATGTTTTTCAAGGCTGGTGACGTGAAGTAGTCATCGTTTACTAGTGAAGTAGCACGGGAGCGTCCACGCACCGCAAAAGTATCGTCCATGTTTGTTTTCGTCTCCGCAGGTGTTACCACATCTGTGATTTTGAGGTTAGTCACATCCAACCCAGCAGCTGCACAGTGGGCATTAAGCCTCTCCACTAACTGCATGTCAGACGAAGTTGAATGAGCTTGTGTAGCGAGTTCGACAAAGGCATCAAAGTTTGTTATAGCACGCTCTTCCAGGGCCGAACGCGGCTTGAACGGACTAAATTCAGATGAATTCTCGTGGTACGACATATCCGTCGCGCTGTTCTCCATCAACGTCATATCTTTATCAGCACGGCGAATCAGAAGAAGCTCTGGCAACTCATTGGAAGACCAATACCAGGCCCACGCACGTCCTTCGTCAGCACCCTCATTCCCCTGTGTTTCTGTACGATACCACAGGAATCCGCGGTAGACACCCAAGACTACAGCTTCTTCAGGCTGGTTCAGCTCCTGTCCACACTTCGAGCACATGCGCACACGATCACCAGCTAAAAATGGAGCACTAAGGCCGGCAATATTGCTGACACGGATGCAAGCGGCTGTAGATGTGTCAAAATCTACGGAAATTCCTCGTGGTCGCACATTGCACCGTTGCCAGTGATTCTCCCTCCATCGCTTCCACTCCGACCAACTTTCACGAAGGAGCGTGTCTGGCAGCTTTACTCGAGTAGACACACTCGTCGGCGTCGAGAACATCATCCCCTCGATTCCATCGGTACTAGGTGGAGATGGTCCACCAGCCAGTGGCTCAGCCTTTAGAGATCCTTTCTCTTGTTGGACCGAAACGTACCAAGAATGCAATGACTTGCTGACATCGACAGCGTCCGATAAAATTTGGCTTGGAGGCACTCCGGGCATCGAGACCCACTTTTGATTTAGCGTGACACGGTCGCCGCCCTTTCGCATACCGATGCACGGATACAGTGTACGTGAGATTTGCTCGCCTTTTATGTTTTCAAATGCGATACCTAAATCCGACACGATATGCTCGCCAAACTTAATTCCGTCCATAAAGAATGACAGCTTGCCTTGCTCCATATCAAGTCGAACGCCGATAGTGTCACTTGCGTTAAAATGATCACCGTAGATCCTTTCTGTGCTATTGTGGTACGTGGCGCGGAAATTCACAAAGCCCCATCCGTGCCACCTATTTAATCGGCTTGATAACGCAGCCTGAGAACCGGGTGGACCAGCCTTTTCGCACACACCAATAAACACGCTACCGAACTCAGCTTGGTCTACGTGGACCTCCCAATAATGAACGCCTGTGGTAAAACCAACCGTTCCAAGTGCAAGGTTTCTCGATTCACCACTATGGCACGTGACTGTCAGTCCATCAGACGAGATACCAAGCGTAGAAAAGTGATTGTGGTGGTCCATCGTAAAGAGATACTTGGTCGATACTTGAAGCTTGCCCCGGATCTCGACTACCTCTCCGTCTTTGATGCCTGTATGTGTGTACTCGCCACGAAGGGTATCGACTGTAGAGGAAGCATTAGTAGATGTTGCATCAACATCTTGCGTGCTTACGGGAAAAAGAGTATATTTTGTCCCAGGCTGCCATTTCTCCGTCCCAAAGCGTAACTTCCAACCCATGTCGGGGTCACCACGTGTTAGCTGCAATTCCTGAATACAGAAAGAGCCGTCGGCATATCTTATACCAACTACGCGAGCAGCAGCACCGTAGTCAGGCCATTCTATCACGCCAGTTAATTTGTGACTCGAATCGTTGGAGTCAACAAAGAGATAAAGCAGAACACCAAGATGTAGTTCTGATCCGAATGATCCCTCATCTTCCAGTTTCGCAACTTGAGTAGGATACTGGTGAGTGACGTTACCGTCCTTGTCCACTTCGACGTGTATTAAATCGTAATTTCCATCTGCACCCCATCGATAAGTGAATAAGGAATCGTTTGGCCAGCGCACCGACATTCCTTCACCATCGACGCCACTCCAAGGGGAGACGCCCTCTACAACCCCTACACTTCCTTCGCCACCATCTTGATCGCGCCACTTCCAATTAGGTCCACGAATTACCTTGCAGCCAACCTTTAGTTCTGTTTGACTGGTCTCTTCTGGCTTCTGTCGGAGCCTGAATTGAGTCAGAGAACCACTCCAGAGCTGCGTATGAGCATCAGCAAGCACTCCCACGCTATTGCCATGCTTCCAGCCTCTTGGTTCATCCCCCATGATGCCACGCTTTGCGGCCTCCAGCACATCAACTTCATGCGGATCAAGCATAGAGTCATCGAGGACGGGGTATTCAAGCGGTGGGCGAAACTCAAACTTGGTATCAGCATTGTCCTGAACTAATTCGGGTACAGGCAGATTGGTTCGACGTCTTAATCCTTTTATATCCAGTCGGTCTTCCGATGCCGGCGGAACGGCAGCAGGGGATACCATAGCATCGCTATCTTCGTTTGCCATGTTAGCAATTGCGGACAGTGTAATGGCCGGAGCTTCCTCAGTGTCACTATTGTCAACATCCATGTTTGTTACAGCACCATTTTGTGCGACATTGGTACCATTTTGGACATCTTGATCAATATCATTGCCCGTGGCATCCACTTGACCCATACTAGAGGATGAAACTCTGTCCAATATATCAGCTTCCGCAGTTTCTGCTTGCGCTGCTAAAAGATTTTTAAGCTTTACAGCTTCCTCAGCAGCCTGTTGGGCTTTTCGCACCTGTTGAAGCTTTTTTGCAGCCTCGAATTCTTCGTACTCCTTTTCGTCGATTGGCCTCAGATCGACCTCAATTTGTTTACATGCCTGCAGCCGCAGCGACATACTGCTTTTGAAAAGCTTATCGGTAGACTGTCCCACAGCACTGAGCACTAAACCAGCGGCAGAAACAAGTTCCACAAGGCTCTGGACATATTTTGAGCATACAGGCGCATTCGAGTACTCGCGCAATATCCGTTCTTTTGAAAGATTTATAAGGCGTCGCAATGGAAGAGCATCTAAGGCCTTTTTCAAACGGATCTTCGTTTCAGCGTCAATACCCTGAACATCGTGCGGCTCTGTGATCCCACATGACTTCGGTAGAATATCTTGTAGCATTCCTCCAAGGATTGTTGCTCCACGTTCCTTAACGCATATGCTGGGAGATTTCAATGCTGATACCCAAGCTTGAAGCATTAGTTGCCGGATTTGATCGTGCAAAGGTGATGAGAGCAGATTCTTGTGCGCCTCTAACGATTTAAGCAGCAAAGTACTTAGCCACTCCGCTAGGTAGAGGTTAGGGTGATTGAGTACTTCCTTATCAGACCACGCCTGGCCTGCTTCAGCTGTAATCTGCAGGAGCACTGTAGTTATGGCCGCCTCCGATGAATTCCATGGAACTCGAGCATACTGGCGATTAGATGCCTTTTTAACCTCCCAATATATTCGTGAAGTAATCGAATCTACTACGGGATGATTTTCTTCGATTCTGGATGCCATTGATGATAAAGCATTATTTAACGCAGATTGCACAACTCCAGATAGTAAACTTAGCGCAAAACGGCCGGTGGCACCACAATTAAGAAGGTGAAGAGCGTCGCTGTCGGGCTGCATCTGCGACGTGCCGGGCAATGCATTGGAAGTGTGGATTGCACTCAAGCTCGCAATGAGTTTTACAAAATCGACAAATTTTGCCATATCCATTTTCTCAGAGTCAACGTTATGCAAGTTGTCGCCAGATAAACATCGTGCAACCGAGAATGACCCCACTGATGATGTCGGCCATTTCGCTAGTAGAGTAAGCAAAGCTCGCCTTGCTTGCAATATAGCAAGTGAACGCGTGATGACTAAAAGTTCCACATACACGCGATTATCAGGAAGTGCTTTAATTTCAGCAAGGGCGTCTGACTTGGTCATACCAGAGCCAAGGGCGAAATTACTGTTGCGAGTGTGACCTGATGTCCGAAGCATTGATGGATGCATGTCTCGAGCGAAGTATCTCGTGTCACTCGAATAATACTCATCGCCCATACTCTCTTCTAGGCAATCTTCACGGGATCCAATTACGTTAAAACCCTTTGGCACCGAGCCGAGGTCGCTGGTATTGCTTAGCACGTTCAAAATTGGCTTAAAACCTGGAGGAGGCGAGTACTTGAAAGGGATTCCCCCGAGATTAAACTGCAGACGCTCTCTTCGGTTAAAACTTGCACACGGGTATACGCCACGGGCAAATTCGATAGCCCTGAATGCAACCCCCATGTTTGCTGATCGCATCTTGCCATTCAGACTGAAGATAATAGTGCCAGCATCTGCATCGATACCGCAACCTATGACATCGCCCTGTTTCCATTTGGACCCCCAATGAGATGAGCGACCGTGCCAACGTTGTTGTCTCCAACCATCATACGCCCAGGAGTGTGCACCGTCACCAACCCCGTCGCCGCGATCAGCTGCACCGCAGAAGGCTACGTCAGCCCATCCAATTTGAATACAGCCGTTGGTGTGAAGGATAGCTTCATAGTACCACCGGCCATTTGAAACGAGACAATCGGGTGCACCAACACTAGCAAAGCCACCACCAACGAGACCTTCTACCATTAAGTCGTGCTCTCCAATGCAGGCCTGGCCACTTACAGCTCGAAGTGGGTTAGGCATAAGCTCGTGATTTTCACCTTCTAGAGCAGTTGTGCTTGTACGTGGAGCATTTCCCTCTGTATCATCCTCACCTGAACCACGCAATTTAATCTCTTCATCTCGCCTATCCTCCGTTTCCAAAGCCTCGCCGTTGGACAGAATCCACGTCAGAGCCGCATCGACATTGTTCCTGTTTGCAGCAAGTGCTTTTTTGCACCAGTTGAAAGGAAATCCCATCTCAGATAGCTGTTCCAGCAAAGGACTTATGGCTTCAAAGTCGTCTTTTCGTGAGAATTTTGAGCTTCCGTCTCCACTAGAACGACTTGAACGGTACTCCGTGACAAGACGCTCCATATCACTGCTGTGCTCAAAACAAAAGTTTATCGCAGCTTCAACATTCTGAGAACAGCGAGCTAGAGCAACATCACACCATTCCTTAGGAAATCCCATTTCCATCATTTGTTGTACAATCGCGCCCGAAGAATTCGAGGTATCCAAGATATCACTTGTCTTGTTACTTCCTCTTCTGACGTGAGAAAGAGGGGATGGTGCTGCGTGCGCACTTCGTATCGCATACCAACGAGACCACAGCATAAGCCAGCTTTCTTCAAGCGAGGAGATATCGCCGACGCCTGCCGTTGTAGGCATCTCGGAAACAGCTACAGCTAGTAAGTCCTTAAGACCTTTGGGACCAACACCTCGTATGAATATCGTAGCGCAATTTTCGTTTCTGAGCAATGTGGCAGAAGCACGTAAGCCATGCTGACAAAGCAGCATTCGGTAAAGGCGTGACTCCTTCTCCATTTCCGCCAAAATGTCGGTAGGCTCGGAGGCACACGTGGATTCAGTACCACCATTTTGGTGACAGGGTGATATATTGACCTCCGAGTCGGACTCATCAGCACCAGCGCCACTAGGCATTTCGCTGTCCATTGCTGATGGCGATGAAGATCCATCATTGGACATGTCATCGTCATCCTCACTATCTCCATCGTTTCCACCTCCTTCGTCGTCTCCGCTAAGAGCATCGACGATGCTCACCTCCTTAAGGCTCTTTTCCACTTCCACCATGAAGTAGGGGAATCGTTCAACAAGCAAGGACCGCAAAACCTCGTCAGAAAACACATCGGCTGACAGCTCAACCTCTGGGACTACAAACAAATCATCGATAGGCACGCGAATTGGGCGTGTCTGGAAGTGATAAAGTTTACAGTTAGTAAGAAATACCTTGATACGTGTTCACCTTTATTCACTTACCGTGACGGAGCGAGTAGGAAGATTAAATTGCTGGCTGCTAGTCTCATCGGTGCGATTCTCACGCAGCAATACCTCGGCTGCTGACTTCTCCGGCTCGTACGCAACAATCACACCTCTAGCTCCTCGAAATGCAATCTCTTGCAATGTAGAGCCAGCCCGAGGCATAATTTTAACTGTCCCGCCGACGTGGAGACCTTCAATGTGACCATCAAGTATACAGAGTGCAGACAAGGCTCGTTCATAATTCTTGATTTGGGCCGACCAACTTTCGAGTGACGGAATCTCCCTTGACACGTCTTCCATTTCGATATCGGAATCGGCAGTATTTGCTCCCTCTGTGTCGTGTTCTGTGACACACAAAAGCGGGACGGAGGCAAGTGCTTCAGAGATCGCGCGATTTAGATAATCAGCCCACTTATCTGACTCATATAACGAACGAAGGAGCAGAACAACTTCTGCAGCGAGCACCCCACCAAAAAAGCCAAAATTTTCTTCCGGCCTTGTGGCGTCGACACATTTCGAAGTGCCTACGCTAGCGAGCCGGTGAAGCATTACCTTTGCGACGCTTGGTGGGCTAATCAGACCCACGATTCCTACAAAAAAGCTGATCAATGTGGATGCATGATCTTGTTCACCTTGCACTTCACCATCAAGTTCGTCGTCACTATCCATGTCAAAACTTTCGAGTTCGTCATAGCGAACTTTGAGTGAGGTAGGGTCAAGGGACGGCAAGAGGCGACGAAGGAGTTTAAGAATCCGTCGTTGTATCTGAGGTGAATCCACATCTACGAGGGCAAGTAGTAGTCGAAGCCACCGAGAAGATGATAGATGCGACCTGCAGACAGGCGAACCGCTCACCGAGTACAAGAGCGAGCAGATTTGGTAGCAATACTCTTGAGCATCGTCCATACTAATTCCAGAAGCCACCGACTCTTTTGACAAGCCCGAATCACTCGACTGTGTAGGATCAGTTACAAACGCTGTAGAAGTGGCTTCAAATGTCAACTTTTCTCGATTCCGTCGCATGTCTTCCAGCGAGTTTTTTAATTCTGTGTACAGCATATGAAAAACGGATTTGCCCAATGTCTCTGGACCAGAGGGTTTGCGCAACAACGGGATCGATCCTAAACTGAGACCAGACGACGACGGAAGGTCAGATGAGCTAATCAGACCATCTGTATCGCTGACATGAGCAACTTGCGCAGCCAGCAAATGTACTACTTTCAATGCAGCCTGGACTATCTTTTTTTTGTTCTCAGCATTAAAAACCGAATCATTTATCGAATCAAGCGGCAGGCTACCCGAAGTTTCAGTCAAGTTCGCATCACTAGATCCACGAGCTTCGTCTAATACCGTTTGCAGCACTCTAAAAATCCCGACGCGTGATAAAAATGAGTGATCATCTGGCTGAATGATAATTCCCCATGCTAGCAGGATAACCAATTGCAAATCAGTGTCGTGAGCCCAAGTAGCCTTAGACAATGTCGCACTAAGGTATCCATACAATGACTCAAAAGAGGTCCTTAAGTCATTTCTCAAGTGCTTTCCGCAACCACCGAGGCCACTCAAGTAGTAAGATAAATCCATTGAATTAGTCTGGGCTGATGCTGTTAAAATAGAACTAAAATCGCCGAATTCCTTGTCCAAAGGCGCGGCACGACCACAATTAGTCTTTGGGTCAGCCATTATAGGGGACAGCCACTGCAATGCGCTACTTAAAGCGAATGAAGACCGAATGATTTCGTGACGTTCCGGAGATAGGACTCCACGGTGAGTATTACTCGAGTCACCGACAAAATATCTAAAGGATAGCATTCCAATTGTCCGAAAAAAAGCAGCAGAGCAATTTTCTAGCATCTTCGACTGCAGCACTGCTATGCGAATAGGAGCTTCCACGAACCGAGCTACTTGGACCAATGTGTCGCTGTAGATGCGCTCAGCGCATTCATACACTGCGGCTTTAGCTTTTATTTTCGGAACACCCATGTCCCCTGTTGTCAGTGCGAATACGGCCTCAGCAGCTGCAAGAGCTTTGGCGCTGGGCTCAACCTGGAGCAAAAACTGGGCTTTTTGGATAACTAGTTCGGCAACAACAGTGTAAGAAGACCCCATCGACTTTTTTGCCCGAATTGCCCACTCGATTACTCTCTGAGCCGCCCGCCAAATATGCATCAAGTTGTCATGTGGTCGGACATCACCTTCGGCAAAAAGACTCTGCGCGTTATCAATACATTTTTTAACGAACTCCAAAGAACCACTATGCCATATCATGGCAGCACAGACAGTTCGTCGAGTAACTTTCATAGGCTCCCCCCCAAGCCGCACAAAAGGTGACTCACCAACGTGCTTCAAAACCCACCGATCTAACGACACCACTTCACCGCGATTTTCAATAAATTCCCTTAGAAAAAAGCTATTCACCTGAGCCCCCATGTTGTCGACGCTGCTGACAGAGTCAAAAAACGTCATGGGTAACACAAATCGCTTCCACTTCTCAGTGGCTTTAGAAAGAACAGGCAGTAATCGATCCACCGCGGCAGGCCCTAAGCCAGAAATATCGGCACATCGATCAAGCGCATTCATTAAATGAGTTTGAACATTGTTTCGTGGTAGTCCACCCTCAAGCAAGCTACTGTTCACCCACTCATCGTATTCATTATGTGAGCATTCGGAGGACAAGAACCTAGACAAGTCTGCGTCATCACCTTCGTCTATTTCCCTCTCGACTGTCTCATTTGCGCTTAACGCACTTGCACCCATATTTTTGGCAAGCAGATCGTCGTTTTCCAGACTGATCAACGCATGACTGAAGTAGCCCAGTAAATTGGAAATCACCATTTCTAATATAACTAAGCTATTGCTCACCATTTGACTGCCGTTCGTATCCTTGCTTTCTGGCAAAATTTTGTTTCCTACAATACAGCCACTTGTATGACTCTTGGTGTCTTCGTAACTGCCTGTAAATACGGTGCCATCAGCACGTAAACGTCCTTCAACCAAGCAGGTCCCTCCTTGGCGCCAAGTTTCTATAAAAGACACTTTTGTTCCTCGAGCGATTCCATTCAATGTCACACTGGTAAACGAACCGCTGCTGCGCCCTTGCATTGATCCATCTTTGCCTTGACTGAGCGTAAGATGGTATTGCTGAGCCGGAATATTGCCTGCAGCCATACTCTTCAATTCCCATTCTCCAGCAACGCTAAGCACAAGGTTACCGAAGGAGGTGTCGTCATTGCTTTCTTTCAACGCTCGAAGTGCTTGATTTACATGCTCGATGCATTGTACAGTGCGAATACACCATGGCACAAGCGTGATAGCCAGAATCGAGCACAACCCGTGGTAGTCCTTAACGAGACTTAAGGAACTGACAAGCGGGATAATCATGTTAAACAGTAGTGGGTGAGAAGTTAACAGCATTTCATACTTTTGTGCATACTGGGCTTTTTGACTTGACGTAAGACTTAGTTGCTGACCTAAAGCAATGTTCAGATCATTCAGCACAGGGCTTGACAAAAATGAACAACACGATTCCAACAAGGTTCCAGCGTGATGTAAGAACGGCTTGAGAACTGCAGGAATTGCCAATTTAGTCAGCTTTATAGTGCTACTGCCTCGAGATGAACCAAACGTTGTACCCGCTAACGGTTGGACAGGTAAAATAGTCACTTGATCGTCTCGTTGGTACAACCCAATTGCAGGGTACAAAGTACCGTGCTGTGTCAAGCCATCAAAAGCAATACCCCAATCGCTATCACCAACACCAAATGAAAGAGCTCCACTATCTGTATTCAATCGGACACGTACAACACTGCCCGTTGTAAATCCATCACCATAGTCGCCGCGAACTTTACTTCGGGCATGCCAGAGCGCTCGAGTGCCAATTAGCCCCCAGCCCTGTCGGTCGCCACCAACATATGTAGCTACTGAAGCATCTCTCGTACACACCCCAAGAAAAATATGTCCCTTTTCACAGCGATCAAGACGAACGCCCCACTCATGTATTCCAGTATTTGGAGGGCAACCAGTCGTAGCTATGACCATACCCCACTGTTTCGCTGTGTATTGCTTTGCAGTTCGATTCCCGTCCGAAAGAGTCATCGTCTCAGCGCACCTTGAAGGATCAAATTCTAATGCGGGAAGCTCGTCACCTCGTGATCCCCCGAGTCGCTGAATCATCAGATCTTGAAGAGACCGAAGCAGAACAATTCGACAATTCAAAGCTTGCAGGCGCGAATTATCGACTTTTTCAAGAAGAGGTAGCAACGGAGCATGCGTTAGGTCGTAGCTGTCTTCGAATGAAAAGTTATGCCACCCTTCAGACAAGACGCTTTCGCGTAATAGATCAACAAGACTGGGCAAGCGATTAATACATTCCAACTCTTCAGCCTTCTGCCTGCGACCGAGATACCACAAATCATCGTAAGCATTAGCTAGGGCATCAGCGTTTAACGCATTGTCGCTTAAACCACCACCAGAACTTTCCGAATCGGCATTCAAAAGACCAGACGAACCATGCCCGAAAATATAATCGTACAGGCAGCGTAAGCTTAATGATCCCGCATCAAGTGAAGCACGAACAATAGCAGGATCCCACTTCGCTTTAATACCTCCAGTCCTTGAGGCGGCATTTATGAGGACTCCATCATCAATGAGTTTCAGAATTGACTCTTTTCCGCTATCACTTTTCTGAATATGCTCAGCCTTGCCATCGTGTTCGATTGCATCCACACAGGCTGGCACAAATTGTTGTACCATATCGGGTAAAGCCAAACGAGCGCACAAGAGGTCTAGCTGGTAAAATTTCCATTCCACGTTTTGCTTACCTTCCCGGGCGAGTTTAAGGCACTCAATTAAGTTTGATGCCAGTATCGAATGCCGTTCTGTCTGGCTGACGTAAAATATAGCAAAAGCGCGTATCCACACTGCCATAGCTTGTTCGCGTATTCGAGAAGAGTAATATGCGGCGGCATTCTGAACGTCATTGGGAGAGCAAGAATCTGGACTTGCGAGAATTATAGTCCTGATAATATCATTGTCGACTTCACATTGAGATGGGATCTCTGCGGTGATACAATCTAAAACTAGTGACTTTAAACTCTCCAACAGCGGGTTCCCGCCTTCGCCGATATCATCATTTTGCGAGACGCTTGGCTTGCTAATTTGTCCAAGACCAACAGATGCTGGGGCAATCCCCATCAATTCAACGTGAAACAGATTTACTTCTAACACGCGAAAAAGTGAAAGCACCGAGCATGACGAGAATAAACTCCACTTTGCAGTCCAGATAGGTTCAGCAGACCAACCAGAATAAGATACGACTGAATTGTGCAGATCTTTCAAGAGGGAATTTAAGAGCATAAATGTCAGTGGATGCGGTTGAACAGGTGATTTGTTTGGTAAAATACCCAGCTGGCACGATTTTAAGTACTCCATGCACACATCAGTCATTTGCGCTATTAATGTCATCACGACAGCGACGCCATCGATATCATTGAACGGTTCAGTGGGTACTTTAAACGGGCCAAGCTGCAATAATTCCTTAGCAGAAAATCTAGCCGGGAAATTGATTTCGGCAGAATGAGAGTTTTGATTTTGTGAAGCTCCGTCTGAATCAGTCTCACTCTTTGGAGTCGCTGGAGCATCAATCGAGGCGTTTTGGTCTTCGGGGGAGAGAGACAAAGCGATTGCACGGGCCATCAGTGCATCTTCATCCACACCTTCATCTCTAAATTTATCATCCCCTTCCCCACGCTCTTCCGCGTCATCATCATCAGCGTCTGCATCTTGTCCATCATTGTCAAATTGACTCATTTGAACACGAAGCTTAACGATAGATCCACTCTCTGAGTCCAAATCCATTTCTGCAGACGATGTGTTCTCCAAAACGTCGCTTTTTAACTCTGTCCCAACGTTTTCTTCCCCACCCTCTAAAGCACTAGCTTCTGTCATGGTTTGATCTAACTTGGTCGGCGTCATGACTTTTTTCTTTCCAAAAGTTGCAGTTGAATCCGTTTGTTTCATCTTATACTCAGGCGCTTTCTCTCCTCGCAAAACTCGCAAATGCGACGCAATCTGAAAAGTTGGTGGGGCCGCCTTGTTTGACTTATTTTGCTGATCCATGAAAGACATAACGAGTTTCACCGCAAGCATCAGTGCCTGCAGCGATCCATCTGCAATACTTCTAGCAACGAAGCGACAGATGTTGATCTTCATCTCTTCATCTGTTAAAGGTTCAGCCGTCAAATCAGGGGTGAGCATGCCAGCTCCAATATTGGACTGCGATGACTGCTTCTCTTTTCGGTCTCGATCCTTTCGCTTTTTTTTCTTCTTCTTGTCTTTTTTGGGGTCCACGCCAGAAACAAGCGGATGACACAGAATGGCACCATACAACGCCGGGTCTTGTTCTCGAATTGAGCCAAGCATGACATTGTATACTCTAGTGTCCACTTTGTCCTTAAGCAGCCTTGAGTGCAGCCTGGCCAGTCGCTTGATAGGGTCCTCGGTGTCATCTTGGATGTCGTCCTCAGCATCAGCATCTTCTTTATCCTCGTCGCGCTCACTTTCGACATCCTTTTCTTTATCCTTAGCCTCGTGAAAGTCGCGTCCGCCACCCAACGCAAACTCAATATCTGATTTGGCCTCCATAAAAAATCGCGTCAACTCTTCGACACGCTGGCGGCGAGCGGCGTCAGCGCTCAGCAAGTCATCCTGCTTGCTACTTGTCTGTTTCTGCTGTGTATCTGTACGCTCTGGTGCACGCTCGAGCTTGACAGGTTCGGCGCGGCCGGTGGTGGCAAAAAATTGCAAAGACTCGGCCGTGATGACGTTACTCCGGTCGCTGCAAAGCGCGGCCAACTCCGCCATTAGACGCGCGTAGCGAATTTCCAATGAGTTTCTTTCCTGTGATTCCTGCAGTTCATGCAGCACGCTAGCTTGCCGCAGCAACCGCGTGTGCTTGCTTCGCGTGCCGCTGCTACTCATGAGCTCCACGTCAATACTTTAAATTAGTCAAGCAGAGTGATGTTCGTGTTGTGCAGCTATGGAATTTGTTGGATTGTCTTCTTCCCCCTGTTTACGATCTTTGAAGCCCAAAAATACCCCACTAAGTACGAATTCCACATAATGCAGATATGAGTATATATGATCCCTTTTCTCAATATTTAGAATGAGGCACGCAAATGGCGCAGATAAGGTACTAGAGACAACATCGTGGAGCAACCTACTACTGATAAAATCAGTATTCGCGAATACTACAGAACTCCGAAAAGGAGGGGACTGAAGTAGACGTGGGCTGGAAGACGAACGTGAGAAAAATACAGCTTTACGTTAAAAGGTAGATGAAGTGTTAGTTAAGTAAAATTTTCTAAATAGATTAATTCTCAAATTGATGTGCTATTAAATAGGAGAGTGAACTAACATTGTTAGTATCATTAGAGGCTCTCGGCTCCGCTCCTTTGAGAAGTGGACGAATCTAATCTCTGTGCATTTGTAAATTCAAAATCTGAGAGTTAAAGCTTTATCCGTGCAAAGTGCACAGCAACCCGTTACACTTGGTAGCTCTTGTAGTTGAGAACTGGTAGTGGGAAGACTATATCTTCTGCAAGAATTGTCCATAATATGCTTGAATACTGTCTCCAAAACAGATAAGAAACTTTACAAGTTTTGTCGATGGTGAGTACCCAAGAAATCAGGTAATGGTGGAATAGTAGCATGGCTTCAGCAAGCCCGCATAAAAAACTTGATGTATTTACATTCGCTTCGTGACAGTGTACGACTCAATCTGTGATTAGCTGCGACCGTAAATGATTCGATGTAGCGCGGTCGCAACATAAACATTCAAACCTCAGACACTGCAGGAGTAGGTAGGCTGATTGCATTCAATATAACAAATAATTCCATAAATTGGGTGTGTACGTCCTGTTTGCTTTTGGAACGGGCGTGTTGCTTTTGTTTGTCTTGACTTTCAGCCGTAGCGTCGCGCACTCTGCGCATGTCTCATAATACCATCACGATAAGATTATCAATTTTGCTACAAAGTATAGATGGGTGATATCAGCAAGACGATATTGATCGACAGCCTCTACTCCGCTCGAACCAGATCCACTTTGTGTCAGTGTTCAAGGCAACCAAGGGTCCACTCATTTGTTCATGAAAATTGGTAAACCATGTATCGCGCTAATTAACGCAAACTTAATGGAGGCAACTCGATTCAGCACCGCAATCTCACATTACAAGTGCTTCGGATGATATTCTACGACGCGTTCTACGCAGTCCATTTGATCATCTGTTTGCGAATAGTCAGCGGTTGACATATCCAATCTGGCACCGAGCACAATGTTTGCCAAACTTCGGTGTAAACGCGGATTTCTATCTGATACATAGCTACTAGATGGCCGTGTTGCTAGGAACGTTTTTCGAGGAATAAGTTGGCTGTACCCTCACCGGTCGCATTGCCGCTGACAACAGCGAGATGATCTATTTTGCTCAGACAGGCCACAAAGACCACAATTCCGGTAGTTCCGAATGCGTCTTTTGGAAAACTGAAAATAAGTCCATACTGATGGACTGCCAGTACTCTGTCAGAACCGTACCCCGACCAGACGCCTGACTCTCTCCCGAAGGCGGTACCGGTTACAACCTTCATGGTGGCTTCCAAACAGGTGCGGCTCGCGCCGAGAGATTACGCGTCTGCTCTACCTGAGGAATCGGTGGGTGCTGCATTCAATGCGAAATACAACTTTCGTGTCGCGAGGGTAGGATGATCGCTAGGAATGTAAGCTGTACGAGTGCGCCAGATGTTATAGACTTTATTGATTTCTAGGACGATAAGTGTGACGGGGTTATACGGACCCTTGTATGAAAGGGCGGGTCGCACAAGATGGTATGACCGTACATAGGTGTCGATTACACATTTAGTGTAATGACATAGTGGTGTGGCAACACCGTAACAAAGCCACCACGTGGCAGGATTGCCAGTAGTAATGCATACTACTACATTAATCAGGTCCTGCTATGTAAATTAAGGTATTACTGTATTAATGGGGAAAATTTAGGGTTTCCGATATTGCGGCTCTGCCGCAACTAAAACAATTTCGTTTTTAAACAGAAGCGTTCGTTTGCCTTGGTAAAGCTTACTTAGAAGTAGCGAATTACTATCCGCTACACTTGTGCTGATCAATGTAAACAACGTAAGGTCGGTGACCTTAGCTTAGCTTCCTCTAAGCAAAGATCTACGGTAGCCCCGCTGCACTTGGTAGCACTAGTAGTCAATGTACGCCTGAGTCGTTACAATTGATCCTCTGTGAGGATGGCGCAATACTCCTTTATACCCCAGGGCATGCAAGACGGGCTTAATAAGCCGATGTCCCTGCTGGGCCCTGGGGGCGTGGGGCACTTCGTTTCGCAAGGGCCCGAGGCCATAGCGCTCGTTTAGAGACATATTCAAACTGTGGAAATGCTCTGATAGAGCACCCGCAGCAGAAGCTATCAGCGTCGACTGCGTCTATGATGCCACTGTCGACGACGGATGAATCCTTTCGACCCAGGCCACTCATGGTGAGCGTTAAGACCTTCGAAGGTAAGGATGGAGATAATTTCCTGCTCTGGATAAGAGAGGTCGAGATGGTCATGGCATCCGCCATGCTCCTACACGCGTGGCACAAGCTATCTCCAAGCTCAGGAAGCGAGCGCGATAATAGGCACTAACGTGCGGTGCTTTGGTTGAAGCTGCTTTGTCTCCTGAAAGGAGCTGAAGCGTCAGCTTCTGCGAGTGTTCTCGCTGCGTAATCAGGCATATCGCGTTAGATCGCGTTTCCTTGCTGCCCGACAGGGTTGGTGGACTGTGTCCAAGAGTTGAGAACTCTTATTGCGGGGATGGCAGCAGATTCTCATCCCGAGGCGGTCGCAGTGACCGTCTTTATGGAAGTCGTCCGCACTGGCGTGACTAGAATGTAAGTCTTCCGCGTGCACTCATCTTCTTTAGAAGAAGCGGTGAATGTGGCATTGAATGCCGAATTTAACTTCAAGTAAGTCGGCACGACTTGGTTGAAATGTACACCGTCGAGCGGGTCTGAGCCTATGGTGAAAAAAGGGAGGGATAGCTCCGAGCTACCGAGCAGCGTGTAAACACCCGACGGTGTGTCGTTTGTAGAGACACCCGTCACCTTCGGACTGGTTGTCCCTCGCGCAAGACGCGTGAAGATTCGTCGAGCCGACGTCCTGCTTCTAATCAGCCTGGTTTGTCGCGGGGAAACGAGAAAACCCAGTAGGCGGGGGGGGCGCACTAGTGGGGGAGAACTGAGTTCTGTTGAGTCTCAAAGATGTAGTGAGCAGCAGGGCCCATCCCCGAAGAGCTGCGTGCTCTTGAACACAGAACGTGTGTACAAGGGGGGCATGGTGGTCGTGAAAGCGACCCTGATGAGCTTTGAGAACGATGTAAAATCCTGATCGATTCTGGTGCGTCGGGCAATTATATTTGACGCTCCACGATCGAAGGAAGTCAGTTGTATGCTGAGGCGCTGGAAGCGCTCTCGAGTGACACCGTCACTGTTCGCTTAGCGACGAGGACTTGAGTTGCTCTGCCGAGGGTCCCTGTAGACCTCGGTGTCAAGTTCCTTGAGTTTGATAGCGTGAAATGCTGCTTAGTCTTAGACTTGGATGCAAGGTTTGACCTTATCCTTGGTATGGCTTGGTTGAAACGCAATGAGCCATCGATTGATTGGAGGTCGAAGATCTCGGGCGCTACGCGCACGTCTCATGGTGAAACTTTGGTGAGTCATGAACCCACCTCTGCTAGGAGGCATAAACGCTATTGGCGCGGGCACTGGATCGGGGTGGTCAATGTGCTTGATATCGGAGTATCCGAGTTGTCAAACACGAAGGTGTATCGGACAAGAGTTTTGAGCGTGGATCGCGGGCTGAACGTGGACACGTAGCTCACTGAGCGCTGCTTAGGTATTGGAGCAGTCGCTGCATGCCAAGAGTGGTATGGTCGGCCAAGAGCCGAGGCATCGAGGGCAAAATCCTTGCGATGCAATTGAATTGACACGTAATCCACTGAACACTGCTAACATTTGAAGCAGTAGAGAGGTATGGTCGAACGAGGTCCGAGGCATTATGGGCAAGGCCCTTTTGATGCGCATAGAGCAGCTCTTCGTCGAATGTTGTTAATAACATCAAGACTCCGGTAGAGCAGGGAGTGAGGGCACTGGACGACGCCGACATCGTGTTCCCACTGATCTCGATGAGAAAACCTCTATAGAGAGGAGATGGCGAAACCGTTTGGTATCTGCAAGACGTAGGGCGTCGACCCTGATCCAGGGTGTGTCGACCGTAGACGATAGCGCACAGCTATATACGCTTGTCAACGGGATGACGGGAGAAGAAGACGGCGACGTCGCCCTAGAGGCTATTCCCGCGGTGGATGCTTTTCTTGAGCTGGACAAGATGTCCTTCGAGGAGTTTAAAGGTGCCTTAAAGTCAGGTAATTTAGCCGAGGTGGTCATTATGAGACCGAACGAGGAGATTAACTCGTCGTTGCTTCTGAATGAAACTGTCTTGGAGGATACTAAGAGGGTGAGGGTGCTGAACGCACGATGTGGATCGTTGATCTTGGAGGATCCCTCAAGTCCGTAGTATCCTTTATCCTTTGGTAAAGGAACGTCAAGACGTCGTCTCCTCCGGACCGAGGTATGCGTCATGAGATTGACCTAGTTCCGGGAACCAAATACTGCGTAACACGCCAATGGCCCCTGCGTAAGGAGCAGTGCGACGTCATTGAAGCCTTTTTTCGTCCAAAGCACGACGCAGAAATGGTGCGTGAAAGTAAGTCTCCCCATTCAGCACAACCACATTTTGTGTCCGGGAGTCAAACGGCAAGTGGCATATCGTTCACGCTTATAATATATCATATCCGTATTTGATGTCTTCAATACCTTCGTGTACTGCATACTGTTTTTACAGTTACGCGTCCTTCGTAGTTGCACGACATTGGTGGAACTACGGAACAATTTACGGCTTCACAAAGCTTGAGACGTTGATGATAGCAACAATCACATCTGGACTGTAAGACCTGATCCTTCTGAAATATTACACCCGTACCTTCACGGGGTACAGACGAATTCGGACATTAGGCACATAGCACCTACTGAGACTGATAATTTCCTTGTGTAGGGCTTCTCGGACGACCCTGCATCAGGCCGAGAAAAGGGAGCACACAGGATACAATTGCTTGAAAGTTCACGAGATGAAATTCTCAAATTACCACGGAGACCAAGAAGCCCCTCTCTCCCCTCAGCATGACCGAATCCTGTCGTCATGATACACTCGCAGAGCGTCCATCTGCCGCCTCCAGCCACCCTCACGGTACAGAGCTAAACTCCACAATAACTACAACGCGTCTAAAGAAAAAAATTGAACGCGAAATGTCGTAGTGCTACCTGAACTTGTTTGAAGACCGGCCATGTTAATGGATATCACCTTCTGAATAACGTCTGCCGCCATCGCGGCAAACAGAGTTTACATATGTTGGACGTAAATAGCTAGTAATTACCTCCTTGGGCAAACAAGAGCTTAGGAAGCACACGGTCGCCTGATGAGGTGGTGCGAACACCCACGACATATGTTGCTTCAAACTTTTCGTTTTTGCAAATATTTCAGCACAGAAATAATAAACGTAAGTGTTCATCTCATTTTCTAGCACAGCCTCCAAGCTTATAGATTAATTCTTTATCGCGCTATTCTTTCGGCTGGAGCATTGCCGAGTTCACAGCCATATCAGCTTCTTTCATCCAAAGAAATATTCTCTATATTCCTGCTCTCATTTGGCTGAACGCTCAACACTAGCGGCCTAAGGTGAGAGTCAATACTGATCCCACCAATGACTTATTGAAGTCTTCCTATATCTGAATTGGTAGCGCGAAAATCGAAGCTAGTGAACTCCTCCATGGGTTCCATCTCTACTTAGTGGCCTAAGTGCAGACAATCTTGTCACCTTTTTTAACCGACCAACTTTATAAAATTATCAAGCTTGTCTTTTGTCCCGATAACAGAAGGTAGAAACTCGTGTTCTTTCACCATATATCTAGTCACTTCGCAGCCGATCGTCACATTTGCAAGGGGACCAACTATAAGGGGTTACCGTACCCCTTGCACAAAAGCGACATTGACCCGAACATTCCGCGCTAACAGCTCAGAGAAACTTCGCTCGTACGCCTGACCCGGGAGTAGAATCGAAAGTCTCTAAAGTATTATGGTACTTATTCGCTAAGAGTGACATACATTAAAGTTTTACTCCATTTGAATTAATAATGCATATATCATTTATATCATGTTTTATGATAAAAATATATATCGCATGACACGAGGCTTACAGCTTACGTGTCTCGCATGTTCTCCTTCAGAGACTTAAATCACCACCAACACGTTAATACCTCTGCGGTGTGCACAATTGTACAACGGTGTGATATGTGCGAACACATTAGTTCAAGAGTGCGGTATGTTTTAGGACAATATTCAAAATGTAATATTTACGTACACAATAAGACAATTCGTACCCCATACATCACCAGTCCCTCCGATCTATCCCTCACGATGTTCCATCACGCTCATTAGCACCAGTGCTCATCATGATACTTATATCAGTATTTTCGATCTTCGAGATAATAGTATATTCATAGTACCCCTTTACACTACCTCCTACCAAAATTGCCACCCTACTGTGGTCGCAATCTTGTTATCGCTTAACGACGTCGCGCAAAAGTGGGCATTATGTGAGCGTCCGATGCGCCAGACCCCCACCGCGCAGCTGACCTCGAAGTCAGCTCATACCTAGGATTCCTAAACTCAAAATAGGCAAGCAGAGCTTGCCTTTTATATATCAAGTTTAGTTCAGCGGTATCCGTTTGCCCATTAGCGATTTCGAAGACAAAACTGGTCTGCTGACTGCCTTAAAATCGATATATTGTGAGATCAAATCTATTATAGAAGAATATGCTGGTCTGATAAGTTTTCTCACATGAGCCCATATTACAAAAATACCCCACTAAGCGTAACGCATAAGCGGCTTTTTCATTTACCCATAGGCGTGGCTACACTAAATACAAATACACTGACCAAGCCATGGTATTTTTACTGGGAATGTGAGTAATATATTGGCTAATGTGAGCTAGTACAATCTTCTATTATACTTATTCGACATGAACCGCCATGGCAGTGGAGGTCAGAATGCCCACGGCGCTGCGACTACCGGCGACTGCAGACATCGAATCACGCAGCCAGGCTATAGACTGTCGGTGTCAGCCCTACTACGAATGATTTAATAAGGTGCATGGCAGAACGAGCTCAGGCTATAGTCATAATACGCAAAATTAGCTAGGCAGAATATTTACAATAATTCTTGATTCATTAGCTACCTCATCGAATAAGTGAACTTTTATAAATAGTTTTCAAAGCATAAAATCGACTTAATTCTTCACCATAGAGCAAAAAATTAATTTATTTGAGAAGATTATTCCCGATAAGATATGTGATTTTGTTTGTGGCTTCACATACGTTCTGATAACAATCTAATGGCAGGCTCCAAATTGAGAGATAAGGTGTGTGCCGCCAATGTAATATACGACGTTAAAGTTATATGTTTTGTGAACTGATTGAATGCGAAATTGTTGCACAAATCTAGTTCGATTTACACATTTATGAGCTTGCGGATTAATAACTCAGCCCAGACTTGAATGGCCGAGTGGTATTTTTCAATTAGTGCCAACCATCAATTATTGTACATGAAGTTGATATTTCATAAATCAGGGGTATCGTTAGTCGCCAACGTCACATAATGCTTCTTCCAGGACGGCAAATACAATACTGTATACCGCATACTTTACATGGACATGAACATTATATCACGACGTGCATATCACATGATCTTTTGCTTAGTAGAAATTTGTCCAAACGTAGAGAATGAACCTTGGGTATTAAGAAGAACTTGAATTTCAAACGACATAAGGCAAAAAAAATCGTCTCGCAAATTACGCCAGATTTTTTAACCGACTTTTTTTTCAAAGATGTACAGCTAATGTGTATGGAAATGAAGAGCAATGATATACAAAGCTATTTACCGAAAAAGACACACCGCCTCGCCCGTCTTGCGGTTTTACTAGTCACCTCACAGAATCGGACGTCTGACTAGAGCATCGTTTGATGCTGGACATAGCAGCCAGAATGACCGTGAGAGCGGGATCATTGTTCGGTCTTAAGAATCCCACGCAGAATACAGGATGTGCAGGCATGCAGCTGACATCCTCTTTGGGACATTGAGAGTGTAACACAGCCTGTTTTTGGCTAGAACAGTAAGCGGAAATGTAGCAAAACCGCATCGTAATGTTATAGCCGGAACACGGAGACTTAATGCGCTTTATGAAACCTATCACACATGACAGATAGATGTGCTTCTTGCCTACTCTGGCATCTAATGTTGCTTATGCAATTCTTGACTTTGTGCTGTAGCGATGCGCACTCGGCGCATGACGATCAATCTCGTCGAGGTATTAAGCTTCGAAGCATGACTGGGCTAATATCACGAAGCTGATCAGTATCCCTCTCCCTCCGATAGACTCCGAAACATTTTCCGAAGATGACGTGAGGGCATGAAGATTAATTTACTTGCTTACAACGCAAACGCAACGATCGGTAGCATGTCTAATTGGCACCGCAGTTGCTTTGCGCATATGTTTTGGAGGATACTCTTCTCCACACGACCCACGCCTTCCGTCTAACGTCTGTCTGGGATGGTCTGCAGTGAATATATTTAATTTGTTGCCATTCAATTTGAACTAAACTCAGTAAAACTTCGCTGTAAAGCGCGGATCTCGATCCAAAACATTTACCATCGGTAAGCCAAATTGGCGAAAATATTGTTACGGAATACATCAGTTGTATATTTACCCGTCAGGGTAACGCTGATAACAAGTATATGAGACGTCTTGCTCGGACGGTCCATAATGACCGCATCGCCTGGATTACCGGCCGCGTCTTTGAAACGACTGAAAGTATAAAGCTGATCGTGATGGACTTTCCACATTCTGCAGAAGCCGGCAGATTTCCCAAAAGGCTCCGACGCATGTGGCGAGGGCTTAATGCGGCGACATGATTAGCATGTACACACAAGTATTTACTCCAGTATATGCTAGCCCACCAGCTTATAGCGTTCTCTGAGCAGTAAGTCTATCTCTTCTAAAGCAGCAACTAAGAAGTATTATGTACCTGTGCTTCTACTGGTGTCTAATTAAAACATTTCTGGAGGTGTGTACCCTGCACACCAAGCGATCGGCTGCTTCTCCAGGACCGGGTCCACCAGATGTGCTGTTCTCTCGGAACCAAGATGTGTCTGTTTGACGCCAAATAACATTCCAGTTTCATCATCATATTGGGTAAGGTGTTCTAGACTCGTCGTCGGATCGACCACAAGCACGACATTGTGCAACGAGGAATCGTGGTATATTTCCCAGAGAAGGCTTTGAATGGTAACGCCCGTGTTAATTGTTACACAAACGATTAGATATAGATTATTCCCAGGATGCGGAATAAGAATCATCTCAACACGCCTTTCATTATGAAGCTATAGAGTGGTATATTTAGGGTGAGACGTAAGGAGCTAGCAAATGTGTACAATTTCACACCAAAATTACTATACCCAAGATTAGTGTGTTGCTTAGGGTTTGCGGCTCGTGTATTCTATAGCCACTCCCTTTTCTACAACTTATGGTAGATCACTTATCTAACCACAGCACTGGATCACAACACTCCACAACAATGTTAGACCCAGTACCTTTGAGCATTCGTTCCTAGCCTATAGAATAATTAATTTCACGGGATGCGTACACATCACACTGTTGTTTCCACGATTTCGAGCGAAACACAGAAGCACCAAGCTTCAGTGCTATGGTTAGCATTCGCTATGGGCTCGAAACGGAAAGGTGTGTGGATACGTGGACTGCTAGCGTACCACAACGCATCATAAAGAGTTTCGCTTTATCGACATTGAAAAGCATGTATAAAGCTAAATTTTAAGCTAACTTAAATTATGAAGCACTAGGTACTCTCAGTTTGGCTTCTGATAAACAGCTTTAACCTCATCCTTTGTTATTCTCAATCATACACGACGGAAGATGACAGAGACTTTGCTTCGTCTGCAACAAAGCTATTCGTGTCTCACTGGCTAAGAAGAGCTTGTTGGTGGTATGGCTTAAAAAACCACATTGAATACTGCGTGTATTTGCATTCACTTTAAGAAATTCAGGGTACGACTCAATCTTATTTGCTTCGACCGTGGATGGCCCATGTAAGGTGGTCACGGTTTGATATCATAGACGTCAGACATGCATGCCCAGGGACATTGATTGTTTCCAATATTGTTTTTGCCTACAACATATTTCCGTGTGTTTCACCTGCAGCTGTCGTTACGGTGCTGCATCTGTTTGTCTTGGCTCTAAGCTATATCGTCGCGAACCATGTGAATGACGCTCAATTTCAACGCGATGAATGTACTGGTTTCTTACAAGATGTAGCCGAGCTGATATCAGCAAGTCGATTTTGATCAAAAGCCACCCCTCCACTAAGACCAGCCACTTTCTGGCAGTGTCAAAGGCTCCCGATGATTCACCGAGCTATTGATGTAAAATGGGGTAAAGCCACTTACAAATGGGGCCGCCAGCACATAGTGCCCACCAAGCAGTATGCCATTTCTGACCGTTTTTGCACCGTAAAGGGTGCTCTGAGAGCGGCTCGTCACACCGCAAGGACAGTCTAACGCACCAGCACGTTTAAATATCAGCTGACATAGCTGTTTAGGCCGTATTGTGCACATGTAAAAGGGCGCTGTTCCCAAACAGCCCCTCAAACAAAACACACACGCTAGTGCGACCAGAAAGCGATTTTCGACGTGAAGAAAAAAAGACAGTCCCGACTTGGAGGGAAGAAGAACGACTTGAGTTTTTAAGGCAATTTTACCACTGAATAAAAGTGAGTTATGGTTTTTAGCTACAAGGGCGGTTGGAGGATTTACTAAAAATGCCTTAAATTCCTGATTTATAAATTAAGAGTGAATTTTAGCTTCAATTGATATAAGATCTTGGGTGTACGAAGCTTGAATTTGACAGCTTGAACTTCAACTTTCGTGGAAGGTATCTAGTAGAAGGGACTGGCTTACGCCACCCACTCCGAAAGCTTGAACTTCAACATTCGTGGAAAGATCCAGTAGAAGTAGCCACCTACTTTTAAGGACAGAGACACGTCGGTCTCGCCACCCGTGCAGATCCCCAGTTGGAGCCAGCAAATTCAGTATCACACAGAATGTTTGTGACTTCATATAAATTCACGCATGCATCTGGAAACATCATATTGTAATCTTCTTTTTATCGATTCCCACAATGCATACAGGCTAAGTGTAGCCCAATTCATCATTCCCTCTTCCTTGATACTTTTGCAGACCTGTTTGGAGTAGTTCACTCTCCAATGAACAACGAAGCGATCCAGTGAACAAGCCAACATGAAAGTGCGTTCTTAGACCGAACAGCAAAAAACGGTTCCAAAAGTCTTTGATATTTCCTCCATTCTCAACCAGATGAAGACAGGAGGTTGAACGAAACGTTTCTTTAGTTGGCATTGGATTAACAATCGGGATTATCTGACCCAGCCCTTGCAGCTAGGCTTGACTCTAAGCGGGCACTTGTTTGCCTTGAGAACGAAAACAAAATGGAGCGTCTGCTTCGCGGGGTCGGCGCTGGCAGGACTCCCAGTCACGAGCGAGCACAACCAAGCTCTGGTCGTCGTAGTGTTGCCTCTAGCAATACTACAAGCGATTCTCGTAGCTGCGAACCTCGTCTGGATATCAGATTCTAAGGCCTGAAATGGTTCCTACGTGGATAGTCGTGCCACCGTTGATGGTTCAACTGCTTATTTTCAAGATGACGAGTCGATCGATCCTCATGATCAACAATCGTCTAACCACCCAACGATGCTCTCCACGAGAGGCTAATAGCGGAGGTGGAGTTGAATGTGAAAACGATTGAGCGACTCCCGAGGTGGAAAAGCGATCATCGTGGGCAAATTGAGGCACTGCAGCAGCGTTGCTTGCAGCAGGGTTGTCATAGCTCTTTGCTTAGAGGAAGCTAAGCTAAGCTAATTCCACCCATCGTACGTTCCTTACAAAAACCAGTACGAGGGCAGTGGATCGCAATCCGCTGCCTCTAAGAGTACTTAGAACCTTAGCCAAGGTAAAGAGACTCTTCCGCTCAAAAATTAATGCTGTAATTGATTGTTTTAATTGCGGCAGAGCCACCAACTTCTAAGGTTTTCCTGATAATGCCTAATTAATATTGTCAAAACTAATTAATAAAGTAAAATCTGAATAACCTACATTACTACTGGCAATCCTACCGCGTGGTGGCTTCATTTTACGGTGGAGCCACACCATCTTGAGCGACCCGCCCTTTCATACAAGGGTACGTGTAACCCCCGTTACGTTGCTTGACACTTGAAGGTTGCTGCAAGAGCCTTTCGAACCTTGTTGCAGAGCAAAACTCGAAACTCGACGTTCTGACTGATGGTTCCACCCAATGCTCGACTTTCAAATCACGTAATGAGCGACGGTGTCAACAAGATCACGATGAACTTGTTCGACTTCGGATGCAGCGGGGGCTGTCGTAGCTCTTTTGCTTGGAGGAGGCTTAGTTAAGGTCGGTGATCTTCGTTCTATACTTAGAACCAGTACGAGTGTAGCGGATTGCAATCCGCTTACTCCAAGAGTAAATACAATCTCAGCCCGATGCTAATTAACTCTTCTGCTCAAAACGGAAGCTGTATTTCTCGATTTTATTTGCGGCCAAGCCGCCTATATCTAAATCTATAGGTTTTCCTATCTATCTATCATAACCTGATTAAATGTATGACGACTGGCTGTTCCAGCCACGTACTGACTTGTTGTTGAAGTGAAGCCACACCATTGTGCGGTCACATCATCTTGTGTGACCCACACCCTTGCATGGTCACACCAGCTTGTGTAACCACGCCCTTCATCTATTACACTCTATCCATCAAGATTGTGAACACCCACACTTCACACTCGAACGTCACCTCGAACGAGGCTCGCGTATCTAAGACACCACAAAATCACCAGGACCTTCGTCACGAATTCTTTGCTGAAATGAGCCCTGTCCGAGGGCGTCC